GCTCTCTATAGACAGAGAAGCAGTAGGAATATCATTCAGGTGGTCTTGGCCCACTTTAAAAGGCATGATGGCACCAAGAAGGCAGCAGACAACCTGAAAACATTACACTTAAGAATTATTATGGTTTATTTTTAACTGTGCAGACATTTACTCAACCCCCAAGTGTGGAAAGAGCCTAGCAGCTAGTGGGGACATACTTATTTACAAATATTAATCATACCCCCAGCCAGAAAAACAAATTAGCTTCTTCTTCTGCCTTCCCAGGGAACAAACAGGAAGAAAAATTAATAGATAATTTTTTGCTTTTAAAACATCTGCATTTCTGTAGTTCTGGAAAAACACTATTTTTCTCACCATGCAAGGCCGTTTGGGGGCCTTGGCCTCTGACAACTGCTGGAACATCATCTCTGAAAGCTTGCGGCTCTGTGGGAGGAAAAACACAATAAGTGGTTTTAATATTGTACTGGAAATACTGCAATGCAAATGCTCAGCCCAAATGTATGCCCAGAATGAATAAAAATCCGACCTACCCTCCATGGCCCTTATGTGTCGTTTAAGACCCCTTAATCCCCTTTCTGCTGATATCTGCCATGAGGAACCATCAGCTAACCCATGCTTGCTCTCAGTACCCAAGAGAGAGAAGAAAATTATTCATTTGGGGGGTTTTGTTGTTGTTGTGCCTGCAGCTACACATATTAGCTGTCACGATTTTGGTTTCAGTGAGTCCTGCAGGTGGGCTTACAACTGTGAAGAAACTATGAGTTTTATTAATGCATACTTTCGAAAGTTAACCCTGAGATATTCCTTTGGCCACCCCCAAAAAAAACATGGATTAGCTACTTATCTTTCCTGCCTCCTATAGTCCTGCCTCCTGTCTGCTTCTTGCTTCTAAAACCACACACCCTCAAAAAGCCCTGCATTTCCCTTTCTTCCACAGCCATATGCCCACAGTCTCCACCAGCAGTGTCTGAATTGAGGGGGAGTACCTGACCCAGCAGTCAAGTGAGGACTGACTGGAGATTTTCTCCATTGATACCAACTTCTGCTCAATAGAACGATGCATAGCTTGCTTGTTGTTGAGGCCTTCTTTCTTGACAACAAAAGCCATCATGAAATATGGAGTAGAAATGTCAGACATGAGTCGTCATTTGTAGGTTTTTAAATGAGCCCCTTTTTTATAATCGGGTAAAAACAATGCCCAGAATGTTTCAATGGCCTGATGCCATTCTTTATTTCATTAAATCTTTTACCTGAATCCAGATTTTTTAAGAAAGTGGCTTAAATTTCATTTTTGTGCTTCAGCTCATAGGTCTTTTTCCTTTAATATTTTTATTGGGAGGCTAATATGATGAACTCTAAACTGAAAAATTGAGCTAGGAAGTAGATTGTTGCAAATAGGACTGTTTAGGGTAATGAGAGGTAGTTAGCTGTGTTAGTCCAAAGTCAGTCAGGCGGCAAGGCGGAGTGGCACTTTAGAAACTAAATGCTGCAGAGGCATAAGCTATTTAACCCTCCTTTGCCTCTCTTACCAGTGCCCCTATCCTATTTAAATCCCCTTCTTTGTAGAACCCCTAATTTCTGCAAGTCCGTTTATAGCATTTGACAAAGCAGGCTGTGGCCTCTGGAAGCTTATGCCTCTATGAACCAGTTAGTCTCTAAGGTGCCACCCTGCCTTCTGTTTAAGATAACAGATACGATGTTGTAAAGATGTCCCTTATACTTGTATGTACCGTAGATGTGGCTTTCCCAAAAGACGTGCTTTAAACACCTGTATTTTTAGGTTAATGAGTGTTCTCTGCTAAAATTTATTGTCCCACAATACTGTGCTCTACTTAAATTTTGGTTGAATTTATACATGCATCAGTAGGCTAAATTGCAGCCTTTCTCCCATGAATACATTGAATGTGTGGTCTGTGCAGAGCAGTAGTGGATGAGTGGAAATGCTTTGTTGTGTTCTGTCCAAGTAGGACTTAAGCGGGCAGAACGCCTCAGGGAGTGCTGAAAGTAGTGTGTGTCTTTTAGCTGGTGGCAAACATACAACATGTTCTGATCATGTAATTGCTGTAAGAGACTGGCAGATGTTCTTGTGGAATGGAGTTCTGAATGACTATGTGCCCTGTGACCCAGAAGCATGCTTGGATATGATAACCAGTTACCCCCTGTCTTCATGGTTGGGGAATTGTAGGGTAGGTCTTGTGCAGAGATGCCCGTGTGTGAATTCGGGAAGCCATCCAGCCATGGCAGGATGGAGCTCTGTTTGGCGTAATTTATCCTGCTTCTCAGTGAACAAGGAGAGCCCAAGATCTTCAAGAGATCAAGCTCAGAGAAATTAGCATTATCATTTGTACTTAATAGCCTGATTTTGTCACTACTCTTCTCATGGCCTGTATCAAGGCACAATTCTTGCTCTATAATCAGATAATGAATGTTGGCTCAAGAGCAGCATTTTTCTTGGCAGAATACATTAACCTCCATGCTGCCACAGCCAAATGACTTCCAGAATCCAGGCTACCCTATTTAAGGCTGCCTTGGATATCTCTATACTGTAATACAGCCTGTAAGATATACTCCTAGTGCAGTATCCCTTCTGGATCATGGGAGCTAGTGGAGTGGAGAAAAAGGAAGGCAGTAGGGTTCCAGTAGTGCTCAACAATAAGAGAAGACCTGAGATATTATTTCTATTTGCATCCTTTTTTGACCAGTAGCAGAATTGCTGATTCCAATTTCCAGCAGAAATCTATTTAGCCTGGGACCATATTTTTATTGGTACTTCCTAATCTCAATCAAATAAATCAGGGCCTATCTACTACACACAGCTTGCCTGGAGAAACATTCAATTTTATTTTCCCCACTTCTTGCAGGACATATTTTATTCTATTTATGTAATTTATGCATTGCACAATAATGAATACATCAAACTGTCCACCATAAAATAAAACTGAATACAGTACATCTCAGCAGTATGGCAGGAGAGACCACAGTAATGCTTCCTGCCTACTAATTGTGGGTAAAATTATATGTCAGTAGAAATCCACATTTTCAGTTTTGTTTTCTATAATTTGGGTACTGAAATCAAAGGCGTCTGGTAACCAGTGGATTCACAAGAATTTTTTCTTGTGGACTGCATTTAGCTTTGATGTGAATTTTCTACGCATATAAATCTTTTCATTCTTACATGCATACTGGGAAAGCTCACCTGTAAAAAATACGTTATGTCTCAAAACTGGACAATTTGCAACAGCTTCCAAATAGATCATTAATATTATGTTGTGATGGCAAAAGTTTTGCTAATGTATTTGAAAACATGCAAATATGTAAGCTTGCAAATAAATAAAAAAAATATTAATTTATCTTGTGTTACTTGTTGAAAGCATTTTTAAATGGCAGTTAATTAAGCTTCAGTTGATCCCTCCTCATTTGGCTATATCAACATAATACAGGTGAGGAATTTGAGCAAAAGAATAATTTCCCAAGATCATGTGCAGTTAGTGACAAAGCCAGAATTTGAATCCAGGGTTCTTCTCTCCTTATGTAAACTTGCAGGTTACCCAACTGGGATATGGCAAGCTCTTGCTGGTTTGGGGGAGAAATAGTTTTAATTAAAATATCAATCAGTTAAGCTTAAGTTTCCACTGCCACAGGTTCACTATGCCAAGTTAATAATAGCTATCCCTTTCAGATCCTGATTTAAAACATAACACATAAATATAAAGTACATTGTTGTGTTCCCCCCTACTCCTCCCGCTTATTTTGAGCTCTCAGAACCGTTGTACAGGGAAATTGCAACACATGATTCTTAAGTTAACTTTATTTTTAAGCACGGAAGTGTCTTATGGTCTATTAGAGGCATGGCTTTTACCTCATGCTGTATTCTCCGGTTTCCCTGATTCCTGGCAAATTTTACATCTGTTTGAAAGTGAGGTGGGGATGTTGCATATCTTGTAGACAAGACCTCTGGAAGAGAAAGAAGAGACTCAGTTTAGATGGATTTATTCTGCTTCGCACAAGAACGTCCTGCTCTGCATCTTGCAAACAGTGTTGGAGAACATGACAACTTGTAGCATGAATGGTGAAATACAACAGGATTCACATTGCATGTACAAAATGACCTGAAATGACACTGCCATCTCATCATACATGTATCATATTTGTTAATCTGAAATGGAAAAAATATTTGAAAGCAGAAAGATAACACATTTAGAATACAGTGCTTTTTTGCTTGACCGCAGTCTAAATTCCCTACGTTTTTGAGCTCTGTAACAATGCTATTGCCAGGGATGTGAGGTGGGGCTATCAGGGAGTAGAACCCTCTCAGGAACTAGGAGGAAGAGATCTTCTTGAAACCCTTGATTCTCAGCATGACAGATGGGGCTCTGACCCTTCTCTCTAGATCTGCATGAGAAATCCTACAGCCTTAGCACAACAATTCCCAGCACAGTGGCAAGCACGTAGAGTAGGGATTAGGCCCAGGATCTACATAGCTCTCTGGTTCCCCAAATCCCAGTTGTCTATTAACTCACCTGTATTTGAACTAAGTCCTGCTCCCCCCACACCACACACACACACAAATCAGCCCATTGTGTTGTCTTTATACTTTTACAAACACACTGGGCTGCCATGTACCTTATTGCCTCTCAGGCCTGGGTCAGGGATTCATCCTGTCACTCTGACTGCATTACTTTCCCTTTCTCTGTGTAAAATGAGGAGGATCATACCTTTTTTTTAATCACATGTTACCTCATAGGGTTTTCCTGTTAAGTGCTTTGAAATGGTAAAGCTCTTTGGCAAGAGTTAAATGTCATCATGTCACTGTGTCAAATGAACACTGAAACATCACCCTTCGTTTTTATGTTGCTATGAAATTTACCTTTTATGTAAGAGTTAGATCTAAGTTATATTTTTATGTGGAGATTTTGAATGTTTAGTCTCCTCTCTTTAAAAACAAAAACCAGAAAGGCTGTAAATTGTTATGCAAGTCATTTTTGTGTGATGTTTTTCAGATATTGAGACAAGTGAAAAAATCCAGAAAAGTGGGATTCTCCAGGTGTTTGCAAGTCTGTTGACTCCACAGTCTTCCAGCACGGCAAAAGTAGCTAACATCATAGCAGAAGTAGCCAAAAATGGTGAGGTTTTCCACAAGAACTTTTCTGCTGGAACATCTTCAGTTTTGCACCTCACTTGTCAGTATGTTTTACTTCATTTATGTTTTCATTTTGTAAATTAGATATTTTTCATCTCTCCCTTTTCTGTTTTTGTCTTGTCAATATTTTGTTACCACTAGATTTCTTTAGTGCTCATTTATCCATTTGCTAATATGTAAAAGCAGCATTTGGTCAATGGAATATTAGTCTTTACTTTTATTCTGTTTGTTATTGTTTTAAACAACTAAAATGTATTTTATTGAGTAAAAATTTTAAGGCACAGACTTTCAGTAATACATATGAAAAGGGTAATAGATTTCTGTGTAGATGTTGTGCATAATCATGGGACTCCCATTGGCTGCACAGCCCAGCATCAATGTCAGGCTCTCTTTAAAAGATTTGGCAAGAGGGATGGCCAGACTTTCAGAAAATGGGAGCCTTGATGCCACAGCTCACATTCGCCTGCTGTGGGTTCACCCACAACTTGATGATGTGAGAGCTCCTAGTCCTCAAACAGTTAACAAAGATGAAGCATCTTGAGGAGCTGATGGGGAACAGGGTCTTTGAGATCTACCCTCCCCAGTGAGCAGGACTGCCTGTGGGATGTGTGGCAGAATGCCACCTCTGTCTCTCCCCAAAAACTCTGCCCTGTGACAGTAGTTAACATGGTCCCTGCAGAAGGCAGATATCCCATCTCTTTAGGTAAACCGAGTTGGATATATTCCTGAGGGAAGGGGGAAACCTGCTCCTTTTGCCTACGTGACTGGCATCACATACCTGGGTGAGGGGCTTGATCTCCCTTTTGTTCTGAGCAATGCCAGTCTACCCAGCAACCAGTGGTGCATTTCAAATTGGTTGGCTGGCAGCCAACAGGTGCTGGTCTCCGTTGGACCAGGTAAATGAGGTCAGAAGGTCTATGTAAGTTAAGGACTGCCCAGGAGGAGGTGCAGAGGCCATGATGAAAAGCCTCAGAGAGAGAAGCTGGACCATATGAAACTTGCTTTCTTTCTTGAAACTCATGATCAGTGAACTGCCTGCCTCCAGAGGGAATTTCCACCAGCCTCTGGATGATACTCTTGAGTAAGCTACCTGAGATCTAACTAGATATATAGCTTACAGTAACCAGATGCATGATCAAAGGCTACCCAGCCATGCCAGTTTGCTCTATGGGATTTCTCTGGTATTGCTGTACCCTGTACCCTATTCCAAACCTACTCCTTGTAACCAATAAAGTTCTTCTTTGTACCTAGCCTAGGAGACTTATTGGGAGTGGATCTAGATTATGCCTTGGGGTCCCCTTGGTTCAGCTGACTAAGGGAGACCACTGTTTGTGCTTCAGACTGAGGGAAGCACCCCAAGTTCTTGAAGTGGGTTGAGTATCCTCAAGGGCTACTAGACCTGTGTTTTCCAGGGGGCACAGCCAGGATCAGTCCAGACCCTGGGTGGTGGTGGCGTTACCCCAAGGCTAGCGGGTGTGCTCCAGGAAGGGGGTCGGCCAGACGTGAGGCACCCCAGGGAGGTACTTGGAGCCTGGAAGGTGGTCGGGTGCAGTGAGGTGGGTGGCTCAGTGCAGGAGCACCCCATACTGGCCCACCACAGGATGCCAGTGGACTCCAAGTAGAGTCCATTCAAAAAAAAGGAGAGGGACCTCAGTGTGTGGGCAAGGCCATGCCTGTAAAAGGAAAGGCAGAGGCAGGCAAGATGGGAAGCTCTGACTGGGAGCTTGCTACCTGCACATTGTGGATTCCATCCAGAAGCCAGTTGGGTTCCCTGGTTCAGTGTCTCTGTAAGGAGAGATGAGATGAGGTAGGTACTGCAAGGGGCCTGGAAGTGACCTCCTGCCTCAGTTTTCCTCACAGGCTCAAGGCACAGCACATGATGCAGCTGGGGGAGGGTCACGGAGCACCCCATGCGGAAGCACAGTCTCACTCAGCAGCTTCTCCTGCACTGGAGACAGAGTTCAATTAGCCAGTCCATCTGACCAACTACATTTTTCTGGTTGCATTGGGCTGTAGATAGCTACAGCTACCTATTAGAATGGCCGTAGCCACATAGAGAACTTACATAGCTAGAAACCACTAGTCATCTAGACACGTAGGGGACTTATGTGGCTACATGTTGCTGTGTAACTACAAAGAGAGTTGTAAAAAGGCTAAACATTACTTGAGTGAAATTATGTCCATACCTGTCACAATATTTGAGCATGGGGAAGAAATGAAATCCATCTTGCAGATGGGAGCCAATTCCTGAACCCCCAAAAGGGAAGAGAAGGGGAGATGTACTTGAACTCTCATACTCTTCAACTGGCTCCATTTTCATACTCAGAGTTACAGAGAAGAGTTATAGACTGCAAATAGCTCTGCCCCTAGGAGGAACCAATAAGTAGAGGGAAGGATGTTTCTCATTTGCTGCCTATTGGAGGGCCTGGCAGCTCTTGCTTTTCCTCTGCAGATTTTTCAAACACATTCTTCTTCAGGGAATACATTACACCGTGGTTCAAAACTGGCTTCTTGTTTGAAGACAGATTGTTGGTTTGCTCCTTCTGTTCAAGTTGAATTGGAATGTTAAGCATTTTTTTAATGATTCTGTTGACAGAAATGAAATAAATCTGACTTAAAGTTTACTTCTCTCCATAAGGAGAGATGAAGTCATTTGCATATGCCCAAATCACTCTTCCCTGTATTTGATTTAGGTGAGATGATTTAATAGAAATGTTAACCAAAGTGTTAAGTTTTCTGATATGTATGTAATCCTAAATATTTAACTCATTTATTTTCTGCTCAGTTAAAATTCCATTCAGAAAAAAGTCATACTCTATAAAAATCCAATTTCCCTAATTTATCTTATAGTTCAGTAAAGCTGTCAGATCTAAAAGTCCAAGAATATTGCTGTGTCTAGATCTTTAACAGGTAATCTATAATCTACGTATACCATCTTTTTAAACATCCCAAAATTATTTCCTGGAATTTTGCTGCTTTGAAGTAAAATTACATATGAAGGGTTTAGAGTCAGAAAAACATGAAAGGAATCAAATACATTATTTTGTACCTTAGTTATTGAAAGTGTTTGAAGTAAATTAAATCTCAAAAATATGCATAAAGCACACGCATACCAAACTGACATATCAGAATACATATGAAACTTATTTCTCAAAAGAATAATGTTTTAGATGAGTAATCCCACCAACCCTATCATGTATTTTTTGCATCTAATAAGTTAATTAAAAGATTCATAATTCCTAATATTTATATTAGAAAATAATATTCAAAGATTTGCTGTCTTCCTTTGTCTCATTTGCTGCCCATATCTCAAGAACCTAAATTCCTTAGTATCATAGCAAATATCTCTCAAGTCTCCTTTTAAACTGCTTTATTGGATATTAATGCATTCAGAAGACAAACTGCTCATCATACAAGATATATCCTAACTTTTTCATAAAGTTCCTATAAAGTTTCTTCTAGCCAGGATCAAATCAAAGCCCTTTGAAATTATTTACAGTCCCCAATGCTTTTGGAAGTGGGATGGGCTGGATTTTCTGTTTGGATTTTATGTCCATTGGTAGAATAGTTATTTAGATTGGATTTGAGGAAGTACCAAGCACATCCATTTCCCTTGTCCTCTGGAATACAAATACCTCTATTATTAGCTTTCACCACAAATTGTCATATCGCTTTAAGGAAAGCCCAGAGATTTTGAATTAGTTCTTTGGGTCATGCCACACAGCTTTTGGGTCAGGCTATAAGAAATGAAGGATGGGCCTGCTGACTCCCAGTCTGTGTTCCAGTTGGCAACGTACAATGAGACCAACTCCCAGTTCCTTCCCAACCCCACTACCCTGTCTTGTTTGACTTCCTTTCCATCTTGTCCATCTTTTTTCCTCCTGTACTGATGTAGAAGTTTCTTACTGTTGCTTTCTAACCTCTCCATTTGCCCTGGTAATCCTGTACCAACTCATCTTCCCTCAGATCTATCTTTATTCTTTTCCCGTACTATTCACTCTCCTCTGGCTCTTTTTCCTCACCATAGAGAGAGACTTTGTTCTGTCCTATCTTTGACCACTCTTTCCTCCCCAACTACAACTCTGTATCTCTTTCATTTTTAAGGTGACTGAACATATTCTTTGCAGTCACTCCTTGCAGTTCTTCTACTCCAGTTCCATCCAAACCCTCTGTAACTTGTCCTCCACCCTGGGCACTTCAGTAAAACCTCTCTCACTAAAGTTACTAATGACCTCCTCTTAGCTATATCTCAGCATCAGGCTTCCATTCACATCCTTTTTGACCTGTCTCACTGCCTTCCGGGCCATCAACCATGTACCTCCTCTTGTCCTAGCATGAGTTCTGTAAATTTGTCTTCTCATCCTCCTCTCTCTCTCTCTCTCTCTCTCTCTCTCTCTGCTCCTCATCCATCTTTCAACTTTGTGGAGGTTCCACAAGGAACTTTCCTTGGTCTCTTTCTCTTCCCCCTTTATCTCAGAGTAATCTCCACTGAAAATATGAAATCAACTACCATCTTTATACTGAGATGTTTATCTGACATCTCTTTAGGGGTGTCAGGCTGTCAACTCAAGCTCCAGGTAATTAAAACAGCTCTTTCTCTTCTTCACACCTTCCCTCTACCATCTATCTTGATTGTTGTAGACAACACAATCAACCTGCCTGGCCCATACCCTAACTGTTATTTTTGGTGACTTCTCTTTATGTCCTCTCATCTACGCTGTTCTAAATTTTGTAAATCTTTTTGGCATAATGTCTTTAAGATATGATCTCTTCTCTCCATCTGCATAGCTAAAATTCTTATCACATCTCAACTATTGCAACATCTTTAGCTCTCATATTAACAAAGGTAGTGTTGCCCCACTCATAACCCATTCAGAATACTGCTGCAGAGATGATTCTTAGAGCCCGTTGCCTCAGGCATCAAAGCCCTCTTGTGGTGTATCACACCACTGCCTTGCCAGTTTCCCTTTTGGATTAAACATACACTTGATCTTCACTCTTAAACCCCTTTCTTGCTTAACTCCACCCTGCTCTCTCATTTTCTGTCATGATGTCAAGAGGCAGAGAGAGAAGGAGAGGAGGGGGAAGAAAAGAAGTAATGAAGAAAACTGGGCTGAAGCAGAAAGTAGGATAAAAAGGGGGAACAACAATGGTGTAAAAGATTGCACTCCAATACTGACATTAGACCCATAGGCCCACTCTGTTCATCCTATCAGAGCAGATATGTATCGTTTTAAAATGCTACGTTGTTTGAAGGACAGAGGGTAAGAAGGGCTGTTGTTTTGGCTATTACTTTTGTGTCATCTAGACAAGTGTACTGTTATTTTTAAGACCACCATGTATCTTAATCTATACAAGAAACTGGGGAGTTAAATCTGTGTTAATGTTAAGAAAAATTTACACTGCAGATTACTTGTGACAAGTATGGGACTTTAGATGCGGGGATACTTCATGGACTATTGTATAAAGATTTGCTTATTACTTTGGATATATGGAATATGCAAACTGTTGCATGTAGAAAATAAGTGTTATGCATCTTTGGGTTCCTGGAATCACTGTTAAGGGAGTAATTGATACAGATCCTATAACTAAAAAGGCTGACAGTTTCCTCCCCCCGTTCCTCCCTAAGAAAATTGTATATTCTGGCTTGTTCTATTTCAAGAAGTCTGAAAAATAAAGAGGTAAAGGGGTTTGGGAAAGACATATCAAGAGATAATTTGCTACTACAGGCAGTCCTCAGACTTATGACACAATTGGTTCCTGAAAACCGCATCTTAAGTCGAAACGTTGTAACTTGGAACCAATTTTCTCATAAGAAACAATGTTATAAATGGGGGATTGGTTCCTCAACCAAGGCCTGATACCCTATTTTCACAAAAAATACCCTAGAATTTTGTACTCAATCAATTATAGATGAGTAATATAGCTACATTAAAGTATTTATATTGTAAATACAATCATATTGATTTGGAAGGACTTCTTTTAGGTGACTTTGCTGGACTTTTTGAAGGGCTCTTGGTTGGACTTTTTGAAGGGTTCTTGGTTGGAGTCTTCTGAGGAGTCTTGGCTGCAGGTTTTTCTGGAGTCTTCTCTGTTTTCTTAAAAAAAGTGTCCAAGGAATTTTAGACAGATGTTCTCCAGGGAGATGAGTGACGCAGCGAACTTGTTCGCTGGCGTGGCTTTGCACTGGATCAAGCATTGTAAAGTTGAAACTGACGTCATAAAGTTGAAACAGGGTGTCAATTTATAAACGTTGTAACTCGAAACGTTGTAAGTTGAAGACTGCCTGTACTTTAATCCTCTGCCCCCCAACTCCCCATTGGGCCAGTTGGTCTGTGGAAACTTACCTTAAGTCACTGGGCTAAAGTAGCCGCTTTTGCTTCTCCCTTTTCTCACTTTTTTTGAGACTTCCTGCCATGAACCTGCTGTTCAGTCTTCAATCCCTGTATTCAATTTTTATACTAGCAGCTTTTCAGGTGTTTTGAAATAATATATAGCAGAACAGATGAGGCTGTTCAGTTTGGAGGATGAATGCTGTGGTCTTAGATCTACTCTTTTGCAATTCAGTGGTTTAAATTTCATTTACTTAGCAAGCCAGAGAATCATTGTTGCCAATATTATGTTTTTTCCTGCTTTTATTATCATTCCTGAAACATGCTTAGTGATTGTTTGGGGGGATGTTAAATTAGTTTACAAGAAAGTCAATTAAATCTGCTTGATTCCTAGTAAATTAATGAGGAACAGAAGAAGTGTAGTCAGAATGCTGAATTTGAGTGTGTTCTCAAGAAGTTTTTTTTTTCTTTTCAAGAACCAGATTGTTTCACCATACATTAATTTATTCTCATACAATGAAAGAGCTTCAAACTCAGATTAAAATTAAAGTCTGTTAAAGACAGACACATGTTGGAGGAAGATTTCTAAACCAACTTCAAAGGTTCAAACCCATAACACTAGACTTTAAAATCTCTCTCTCCTGTTTGCAGAGTTTATGCGGAACCCATGTGTGGATGCTGGGCTGATCCCTCCACTGGTGCAGCTCTTAAATTGCAAAGACCAGGAAGTGCTGCTACAAACAGGACGTGCCCTGGGCAACATATGCTATGATAGCCGTAAGTCTTGCAGTAGAACAATTTTTGTTGATGGTAGTTTGGGTGTTTTGTTCTACTATTCCACAGTCATGAACTAGCAGTAGTTTTCCTCCCTTCTTGATTTATATGTTGATTGTTCTAACTTCATAGGACATTTATGTATATCATATTTAAACTCTGCTTGCATGACAGACTGATGAAAAATCTCATTTCAATATCATGATATTACAGGACTTGGGAATATAGAACACTTTTTCTCTTTATCAGAGTAGACTAGATTTTCAAAAAGCACCTGCTACAAAAGTAGAGTCGCTGCCCTTTCTCCTCCCATGGTGGGAAGGAAAATACATTTCTCCTCAATTCTGAAAAAAAAAACCAACAGCAAGAGGAGACTGGATGAAAGCAACATAGCCCAGCTTCATTGCGCACATGCCATAGCATTCTTCCTTAAATGGTCAAAGCATCAGGAACATGTACTTACTTTTTTCTTTTTTTAAAAATAGATTTTGTAGAGCCATATATTTTTGGGTAGAAATGTAATGTTGCATTCAGTTACAAGTAACGTAAATGTTTACACGATTCCCACTACCAGTTCAGAGATACAGTAAAATCCCAGTTTTCTGGCATTCTATAAGCCAGAATACTCTATTAACTGGAATTTCTGGCCGAATGCAGGGGCAGAGCAGGGGGTAAGCTAGCACGTGGCGGCTGCTGCCACCACCCCCGCAT